CTCAGAGACCTCAACTAGGGGTCTTATGAAGCATCTGGAATAGCTGGTGACCCTGAGGGTGTGTCTTGCAGGTAATATCTTTGAGTTTCATCTCCTTCCTAATGCCCTTTCTTTTGGGAAACTTTTGCTACCTGGAGAGGCTGGAAGTGAGAAAGCATTTTGTTTTCCAACTTAGCAAAACTTGTGTTGAAATATATTCTCTAAATATTTCTGTTTGGCTTAAAAGCAGAGCAGTTCCTACTTATAGTCCTTCTCTCTATTCTTATTTTCACTTTACCATAAATAACTGAAGGAAGCTGACTGGCCCTTTCAACTTGCTGTCAGAAAAATTAGGTCCTCAGACCTGTGTTCTGTTCTGTGCTGCCATGGGCAGTGGTCTCATGAAAACACACGGCTCCACTTTCTCCATCTCTGAGGCCTTCTCACGACCCTTCTGGCCTTCTCCTGCTACCTGGCTCCAACGTCAGTGCCACATTTCAGAATTTTATTTTGGCAGTATTTCATTTCCAATTCAGTTATTTATTGCTGCATAGTAAACCACCCCCAAACATAGTGACTTATAACTACTCATTTTCTCATTATTCTAAAATCTAGGTTGGGCTCAGCTGGTTGATTCTGCTGTTTCAAATTGTCACCATCAACTCCTTTCCTCCTTGTAAGTGTGTGCTGTACCCCACACTTATCTTATGATTGCTTTGATGAAATAAATATAGAAGAAATTTCAGGGACTCTGAGCCTAGCCTTAGGATTATCAGCTTCTACTTCTTTCTCCTGGGGACCAGCCACAAGATAGTCAGTCCCACTTTCTAGACACCATTGTGCTGTGTGGAATCCCAAGTAGCCATGAGGAAAGTCCATATGGAAGAGATATCAGATCAGCCCCAGCCAACTGGCATGTGTGTACGTGTAATGGGCATCTTGAATACCCCATCCCCAGCAGATGCCATTCATCAAAAGAGCCTCCCAGCTGAGTCCAGCCCAGCTTTCAGGATAATTAATTGGGGTGTTTCCTCCTATAACCATAGATGGCTGAAACAACTGGGACCACTCATACAGCTGCAGTCATCTGGGGACACAACTGAGGCTAAAAATCCAAGATAGCTCCACTTACATGTCTGAGCTTTCTGTCTCTCATGCTCTCTCTGCAGGGTAACCAAATATTTCCAAATGGCAGTTCAGGGCTCTTCAGAGCCAGTCCTGGAACTAGTGTGGCATAGCTCTTGTTTCTATCCTACCAGTTAAAGTAAGTCACCAGGTTACCAGGTCAGCTCAGATTCAACAGCAGGAGATGGAGCCCACTTCTGATGGGAGGAGCAGCATGGATATAAAGGGATGAAAGGAGTTGTTGGTGGACATCTTTGAAGATCAGCCACCAAGCTGTAGGAGGTTGCTGCTGAAGTCCAGTGGACATTCTTTTTTTTTTTTTTTTTTTTTTAGAGAGAGAGAATTTTTTTTAATATTTATTTTTCAGTTTTCGGCGGACACAACATCTTTGTATGTGGTGCTGAGGATCGAACCCGGGCCACACGCATGCCAGGCGAGCGCGCTACCGCTTGAGCCAAATCCCCAGCCCCGTAGTGGACATTCTTGAGGAAAGGAGTCATGAGATTCAGAGGTTTTGTTAATCGTGTTTTTAATTTTCTGAGTTTTATGATGCTTTACATCCTGGAGCTGTACTAGTTCTGGAAAGTCTGCCCCTTTCAGGGGCAGCTGATTGCTGGAGATGGCTTGCCCAGGATCAAGTCTTTCCTACACAGACTAACCCACCCAGACCCCACAGCCCACCCACCTCCTTTATCTGACTTACACACCAAGCCTCCATTTCCCTGCCCTCAGCCATGCCAGAGCCAGGAACCAGATGACCAGAGATCATCAGGCCAGAGCCTGCTGAAATTGTTCAACTGTTCAGTCCTGAGCTCTCTCAAGCTGGCCTCCCTTACCTTGTCCATTCCTTCCTTCCTTCTTCTTCTTCTTCTTTTTTTTTTTTTTTTTTTACTTGGGATTGAACTCAGGGGCATTCCACCACTGAGCCACATCCCCAGTCCTATTTGTATTTTATTTAGAGATAGGGTCTCACTGAGTTGCTTAGCGCTTCTCTGTTGCTGAGGCTGGCTTTGAACTTGCGATTCTCCTTCCTCAGCCTCCCGAGCTGCTGGGATTGCAGGCATGTGCCACTGTGCCTGGCTTGCCCATTCCTTCTTGTGGAAAACAAAATGAAGGTCCTGTGCCATGCTGTGACCCCACAGGGCCTGCTGTCTCTTCCTCCTGGGAACTGTGAGTACTGAACTCTGTCACCTCAATCATGTCAGTGGCAAAGGGGACAATGTCAGGCAGCACCCAAATGTCAAACCAACAGAAGTCAAAAGGAATGTGATTCAGAAGGGAGAGGACAGTGTTGTACTGAATGCTGCTGGGTAGAACCATGTGGACAGGACCTTTGCAAAGCAAAGCCCAGGCAGAGGCCAGAAGACTGGAAGGATCACCTAGTGTAGTTCCAAAGTCACTCAGAATGTCTACAGGAGTGGAATTGCAGAGAATGACAGTCAGGAGCTGAGATTACAATGAAATGAGGGGACAGAACAGTTTGTTTGCAGTGACTGAGAAGGTGGTAAGTCAAAATTCTGAAAATATGACACTTAAAGCTGGGAACTTTTAGGGTGAAGAATGGTCTAGAAGGGTCTTAAGGAGCTGGAGGGCACCTCCCTGCCTCCAAGTCCAGAGATATCTGAATTGTGTGAAAGAAACATCTACACTCGCAAGGCTCCCAGAGAAGTCAGATTCCTGTTAGTGCAATAAGCAGAGTGGATCATACAGAGACAAGACTGAGGACAGCATCTGTGCTGATGTGGATCCCAGGGGAGCAGGGTGTTGATGAGAGATGGGGTCAGGACAGAGGATATGCAGAGCCCTGTGGGAGCCCTGGGATAAAAAACTACCTAGGTCCTCCACATGATTCTACCCAACAACATTCAGCACAACTGTCCTCTCCCTCCTGAAACACATTCCTTTTGACTTGTGTTGGTTTGGCATTTGGGTGCTGACTGTCATCATCCCCCTTCCTATTGGCACCCTAGACTCCTTGTTCAGGAATTCCCCCATTTGCACCATCCTGGCAGGAAGATGTGGAGTGACCCATCCTCCTGGAACATGGGATACTAAGGAGCTTTGTGGGGAAATATCACCCAGGCCTAGGACTACCCCAGGGGACCTGAGTCCCTCCTCCTTTTGCTGGATACAGCAAGACTAGCGTCTGGGTTGTGTCCTGAACTCTTGACCCAAACACCTTAGACATCAATTGCCATCTGTACACCAGTTACCAAATATTTAGCCCTTTGACTCCCCAGACTTATGCCTGGAAGTTGGGTGCCCAGAACACCTGAGACTCAGAATGTCATGACTCCTGTTCCTAAGAGATGTACGTATCTTCTCCATTGGAAAAACGCCTCCTTTTTGCCAGCTGTCTGGCAACTGTGATTCCCCTCCTCTCCATGTTAGATACTCCCTGGCTTCTCTGGGTTTTGTAGCCCTTTCCCCTAGACTGTGCATGTGAGTTTGATTTGCCCCTGGTACAGGTGCTCCTTCATTTATGACAGGGTAACTCCTGATAAAGCCATCATAAAATAAAAAGTGGAAATATCCTAAGTTGAGAAGGGCATTTAATACCCTTGAACTACTGATCATCACAGCTGACCTTGACAGTGCTGAGAACACTCACAGCCTACAGGTGGGATAGTTGTGCAACATAACAACCTTTTGTAATAAAGTGTTGAATATCATGTAATTTATTCAGTATTGTTCTGAAAGTGAAGAGCAAGGGTTGCATAGGTTGGCTTTTGCATCATGGTAAAAGCAAACATTGGAATGTTGGGGATATATGCATTTGAGTGTCTCCCCACCTCCCAGTTCACTCTCTGCAAAGGGACTTTTTTTTTTTTTTTTGTACTGGGAATTGAACCCCAGGGCACTATACCACTGAGATACATCCCCAGTCCTTTATTTATTTATTTATTTATTTAGGTACCGGGAATGAACTCAAGGGTACTAGACCACTGAGCCATATCCCCAGCCCTATTTTGTATTTTATTTAGAGACAGAGTCTCATTGAGTTGTTTACGCCATGCTTTTGCCGGAGCTAGCCTTGAACTCGTGATCCTCCTGCCTTAGCCTCCCCAACCACTGGGATCACAGGCGTGCGCCACCGCGCCCTGCCCCAGTCCTTTTTATTTTATTATTTTTTAAAAATTTGAGTTGGGGTCTCTCTAAATCTCTCTAAGTTGCTGATGCTGGATTCGGACTTGTCATTCTCCTGCCTCAGCCTCCTGACTCGCTGGGATTACAGGTGTGCGCTACCGAGATCTGCAAGGAGGGGGACCTTTTAAAAAAGATGAATCCTAATATATTCCTCCTGATTTTACAGTCATCTGCACCTCTGCCCGGCGGCCCCAGCCTTGATTCTGGCGCCTGGTCCCCTCTCCAGGGGCACTCGCTGCCCTGGGCCTCACCGCTTAGCATCTGTCTTCAGGACCTCCGCGCACTCGTGGCTTGCTCAGCACAAGCGTCCCCAGGAAGCTTAACGAGCATACCTCTCGGCGCGGGGAACGGGCCGGCAGGTTAGGGGCGTGCGGTCTGTGGGCGGGTCGGTAGGCGGTTCCTGGAGGCGTGGAGGGGACCGTACCTGCACTCTGCTGTGAGTCCTCGAGGGCAGATCCTAGATGTGGTAGCGGGTCGGGGGCGGATCCTCGGGGTGGGCTTTTGGAGGATCCGTGGGCCTGGGGAGGATCGCTGGGCTCAGGGCGCGCCGAAAGCCGGTCCTTTTAGCTAATCGGGGCGGGTCCTCGGGCTCAGGGCTGGTCTTGGGGCGGGCTGGGGGCGGTCCTCGGACTCGAGGCGGGTCCTCGGGGCGGGTCTCGGAGCTGCGGCCCCGGCGGGCGTCAGTGCGCGGCGCAGGAGGCCGCGGCATGGGGCGGGTGCAGCTCTTCGAGATCCGACTGAGCCACGGCCGCGTAGTCTACAGCCCAGGGGAGCCTCTGACCGGGACCGTGCGCGTGCGTCTGGGGGCGCAGCTACCCTTCCGAGGTGGGCGCGGGGTGCCTCGGGGGAGGGCGGTGGCCGCGCCCGCACCTGCCGCGGCCCGAGCTCCCGGAAGCGGGTGGTTCACGCTCTTGGGGCCTGGGTCTGCAGTCCTCGGCGGACCCGGCGGGCTGCGGGAGGGCTGGGTCGCGGTTGCGGGTGCCGCAGGCGCGTTGTTGTTGGTGAGTGGCCGGCATCGGCTGGGGCGGAGCAGGCAGGCAGGCCCGTTGGCCCAGTCCTTCCGCATCTGCCCCTTCCTGTCCTCTCGGCTTAGGGGCAACCAGAGTCCGGGTGAGGGCCTAGAACCTGTCCACCTTGCCAAGGCTACTGCGACCGTGGACATACCCATGACTCCGACCTTCCTCATCTAGTTGCGCTCCGCACCTGCTGGGCCCTCATCTGAAACCTAGCCTTCTGGGTCCCCTCTCTTAAGCCACCAGGCATAGGGGCAGGCTCTTCCTCTTAAGAGCTGCGGCCCCTCGGGCGTCAGTGCGCGGCTCAAGTGCGGATCCCCAGCAGAGTCCACTGGGCACCTTCTTACAGTCTGCCCAAGGTTTGTCCTTAGGGGCAGTATGTATTGGCTCATCCTGGTATCCCTTCACCCTAGCCCAGCCAGCTTCTTGGAGCTGAGCCCGAGCCTCTGCTGATGCAGGCATCTGGGACTTTGGGGCCTGGGATCGGGTTCCACGGTGGCATTGATAGGACACTCTGCAGGTATGGGACTCCTGTGCTCAGTAGTAGTCATATTGCTGCTTCCTGGGGACAGGGCTCCGAGAGGGACTTGATGGCTGAGCCCTCAGGGTGTGCTGGGCAGCATGGTGGCCATTGCCTGACCCCCAGCTCTGAGTAGAGGTTGGTGTGGGTGTCCCTGTGGGATGTTTCTCTACGTTGGCCTCTTGTGAGAGCCACCCAGCTGCTTCGACAGAACCACGGCTGCAACTTCCCTCTGCACCTGATCTCCCTGGCTTCTGCACTGCTGGCAGCTTGTACTTCTGGTGAGGACAGAGAGCTGTCATCCTCCCCTCAGTGGTCTTGGGCTGGGTGATGGCTTTCTGACACCTGACCTTCTGAGTTGCCAGGTCTAAGAGGAAGCTGAGTTGTAGGTGCTTCCCTCAGGCTCTGGGCTTGGGTTTCCTGGTGATGACTTTGTTGCCTCCTCTCCTGTGTCCCCACTTGGAGTTTGCGATTTGGGTGGGGGCAGGTGTGGCCATCAGAGGGGATACAGCAGCTACAGGGCAGTTCTCCTTGGGCACAAAAGACAGGTGAGACTCAAGGCTATGTGCTCCTGGGCTAGGAGGAACCCACAGTCAGGAGAGAGGTCTTGTGTAGAGCTCACCACCTGGATTGTCCATCTTCATTCCCTCCCTGGATGGGCTTAGGTTGAGCAGGTCATTGCTCACCAGAGTGACAGAATGGGCCAAGCCCCTGGCTTCCTAAGTCCCAGGGTGGATAAATGGAGAGCTGACCCTATGGAGGCCAAAGGAGCCCCAGCACTTGGTCCTGACTATAAAATGTGCCCAAAAGTGGAGATATGAGCTGGGGCAAGAGGTTGGATTATTCATATTGATGGGGGTGAATTTGCCAGGGTGCCACTAGGTTTTCCTTGATCCCTGCCTGGAATGGAACAGGAAGGACCATCGTTCTTTTAAGTTTCTGCTAGGTCCAGTAGGTGCTGCAGGGAGACCCTTCACTCCCCATGTGGGTGGCAGACCTGCCCCAAGGTTCCCGGATTTGCTCATTGAACACTTGTCCGATGAGTAGCAGTAATGGTCAGCACCCAGCCATGAGGACACAACTACCTAAAAGCTGATGTGGAAGGGAATCCAGGAAGGAGCAATTTTCTGAAGCCTGAGGTGGGGCCAAGTAGGGTGGCCTTGTACTCTCTTTCCTCTCCTTGACCTCTCATTGTGGGTCAGATGCATGTCTCCCAATTCTCCATGGGTCAGCTTCATGTACTCTGGAGGAGGCCATTCTGGTTATTCTCATGATACAGTTAGGAAGCAGGACAGGTAAGACTTACTGAGAGAGTGTGACAGAGGCTGGGCTACCTCCATTTTGGGGAGCCATTGGGGTTGGGACAGATTTTGAGAACTTTGGGACCAGGACAGCAGTGAGTGGAGGTCTTCAAGGTCAGAGGGCTGGATGCAAGGGAGGGGGCTGCTAGGCAGGTGGACACACTGGTGTGAGGAGAAAGGTCCTGAAGTTCCTGTGAACAACCTGTTCCAACCAAGACTGACTCTGCTGGGCTGGTGCCTTGTGTTTTGCTATGCCTCGTGCAACAGTTTGGAAGCATTTATACCTGAGTGCTTGGCTCGCAGGCCTCACTTTGGGGTGGATGCCTTGCCAGTACACCCCTGCCCCCATCCCATGACCTTATGACAGGCACTTGCTGGTGTGAGCACCTCACTTACTGCCAGGAGCAGGTAGCCCCACATCGGGGAGGAGGAATGGGGCTTCAGGGTCACCACCAAAAAGCAGCTCCAACATTAAAGTTTGAAAGTGGAGGAAGCAGGGTGACTAGGTGACTGCCCCTGTACTGCCATCATGAGAGTCTGCACTCAGAAAGAAGGGTATGCTGTGTCCCGGTGCCTCTCCAGCAGCAAGGAGACCCTTTCCAATGTGCCCTGTGGTCTCCCCTCACTTCTCTTTGGGCAGAACTGCAACTGAGGGGCTGGGGATATAGCTCAGTTGGTAGAGTACTTGCTTCACATGCACAAGACCCTGAGTTCAATTCCCAGCACCACCAAAAAAAAAAAAAAAAGGAATTGCATCCTGAGATCCTGCCTGATCCAGAAATTTGAGAAGGCAAAAACCCAACCTCTCTCTGCCTCTGGTCTTGACCAGTGAAAACTGGCTCTATGGGGAACTCCCAGCCTGACCTGAAACTCTGCTGACCAGCAGAGGAACAGCTCCAGGCTTTTGGTGAGGAAGTAGCAGAAGTACTGTGTGCCAGCTGTGTCCCACCATCCTGCTGAGAGAGTGGGCAGGCCGGGTCCTCCACAGAATCCTTAACGTGTTGGGAAGATCACAGAGCCCGGGTTCCCTGGGTTGGATGCTGTTTGTTTTTCTGGGCTCATGTGGCTCCATGTCCCACACTCCAAGGGGGTTTAGGCTGGGTCCTTGATGTTTCATTGAAGCCTGGATTGCTGCCTCCAGTAGTGTGTGTTCAGCCTGCAGGTGATCATGTTTTCCATCTCCTACCTAACACATGTCAAAGTGCTTAACATTTGCCAATTTGACAGGTTAAAATTGAAAGTAATCACACTTTCCCTGATTTGTAGTGGGGAGGGGGCATCTGTTATGTAAAAGTCACGCCAAATGGATGGGGTTGTAGCTTAGAGGTAGAGCACTTGGCTAGCAGGCACAAGACCTGAGTTCCCTCCCTAGCAGTGAAAAAAATAACAAATCACCCTAAGCTAAATAGCTCAAACAATCATTTTGTTGTTTGAGTTGAGGGTTAGGAATTTGGGCAGTGGTGGGCAGTGCATGTCTTCAGTTCTGTCTTCAATTCTGTTGCCGACTGGAAGAACTGGAAGCACCTCCTTCCCCTTCTAGCATTCTTGGTTGGTTCGAGCATCTGCAGGATTCACCTGCAGGATCCAGGAGGAACATGCTCTGTCCAAGAGGGTGTGCCCAAGCACACAACATCTCTAGCCCCCTGGATAACTTTTCTAGGCCTGCTTTCACCCTGGTGTTTCTCAGGCTGGCATAGATTCCAAATCAGGGCTGAGATCAGTGTGATAGGCTAGCCTGGCATGGAGGCTAAGGAGAAAAGGGTGGTACAGGGGTCGGGGACAGAGGCCTGGCATCAGTCAAAGGGAAGAGGGGTATATATGTGGAGAGCCACTTGGGGCTGAGGATGAGCCAGGGTTTGCAGGAGGAGTTCTGAGGGTGATCAACAGGAGGCCTGGGCCACAGGGTGTGGCTTGCCTAGGCAGACCCCAGGTGAGGCAGGTGTGGCTAACTCTGGCACTTGGACACTAAGTGTTCCTCCCACCTGGTGGTTTCATTAGAAAGGCATCAGGGTCTGAGCAATCTTCCCCTCACGTGGCCCCATCAAGTCTGGGAGAAGCACAAGGAAAGGAGCAGAAACCTTGATCTGGCCCTGCAGGGAGAAGGGTGGGGTGGAACTGCAGGGTGCTTGTCACTGGCTCCCACCTAACCCTTGCCTGGGCCTCTGTTGTGCTGTGGTTCTGTTGGGTTGATTCTCCCTGTGCCCAGCCTTGGCTGGTCTGATTTGCCAGCCATGGCTGCCTATCCACAGGCTCTGGACATGTTGGATTGAGGAATCGGAGTTTGGCTTTCAGTAGGTCCTGATGGGGCCCTCCCGCTAAATCAGCCTCCTGGGCAGTGCTGCCCAGGAAGTCAGGGGCCCCACCCTTTGGGGTGGCAGACTGTGGACCTGCTCAGGCAGGTCTGACCACATTCCTGCAGCGTGAGGGTTGGCAGTTAGCTTCCTGGAGCATGAAGGGGTGCCTTCCTGCCTAACTGACTTGCAGTAGTGGGGTGTCCCAAGAATCCCTTATAGGGGCTGTTTTCACAGGTCTGGTGGGGGGCCAAGCTTACCATTTTGGGGGTTACTACAGGAATAGGATGAGCCACCCCCTTGAATGCCAGGACAGATGAAACTCAGTTCCTTTGCCAGCCTGGCTTCCTGGAAAGCACTCTAAGATCAGGGATGGCTAGGGTGTTCTTGGAAAGGCAGGGGCTTCCTGTCTGGCTAGGGTGCTGCCAGGCTGGCTGGGGCTCATGCTTTCCTCCCCTTGCAGCAATCCGTGTGACCTGCCTGGGTTCCTGTGGGGTCTCCAACAAGGCTAATGATGCAGGATGGGTGGTGGAAGAAAGCTACTTCAACAGCTCCCTGTCATTGGCTGACAAGGGTGAGTCTGTGAGCCAGTCCCTTATAGCATCCAAGTGGTGACCCCTAGGGCAGCCCTTGTCTGGAGTTGGCCTGTCTGGCCTCTCCACATCTGTCTCTTGGAACCCTGTGCTACTTCCCCGTGGCTGTGTGCCCTGGTGGGCTTCTTTCCCCTGCAGGCACTGTGGCATTGCCTCAGAGTGTCTGGGTGGCTGAAGGGGGCACCCTTCTTTGGTGCTGGATCTGGGTAGGCTCTGACCTTCGTGTAGCCATTTTATTCCCCTGTGCGCCCCGCCTCCCCATTCAAGCCAAGTTCTCACCTGCAGCCATTTGCTCAGGCCAGGGCTATGCTGCTGTGCTGAGATGGATGGGGAAACCAGTGTGGGTTGGGCAGCTGCAGGGCCACTGCTGTCCTGGCACTGTGGCTGCCCCATGGGCCTCCTGAGGCTGGCCCCCACCTCCCTCCTGTCTCTGCAGGGAGCCTGCCCGCTGGAGAGCACAGCTTCCCCTTCCAGTTCCTGCTTCCTGGTGAGAGCCCAGCTTGAATGGCTGCTAGGGACAATGGCCTGGGAGGGTAGGCCCCATAGGTGGAGTTGCCAGACGCCAGTTCCTGCTCTCTCCCTAGCCACAGCACCCACGTCCTTTGAGGGTCCTTTTGGCAGGATTGTGCACCAGGTGAGGGCTACCATCGACACTGCACGTTTCTCCAAGGATCACAAGTGCAGCCTTGTATTCTATATCTTGAGCCCTCTGAACCTGAACAGCATCCCAGACATTGAGGTGAGGATGGAACAGTGACCTCCTTGGTGGTCCCCATCTGTCCATGGTGCGGGGCAGAACTGAGGGTTTGGGTGTAGCAGCCTTTGTATTGAGCTGATCACTGGTATCTGGGGCAGGATTGAGAGGGCTTGTCCCAGTGCTGCAGGAATTCTGTTCACATTCACCTGCTCCCCACTTCCCTTTCTGTCTAGCAACCTAACGTGGCCTCTGCCACCAAGAAGTTCTCCTACAAGTTGGTGAAGACAGGCAGTGTGGTCCTCACGGCCAGCACTGATCTCCGAGGCTATGTGGTGGGGCAGGTGCTACGGCTGCAGGCTGAGATAGAGAACCAGTCGGGCAAGGACACCAGCCCTGTGGTGGCCAGTCTGCTGCAGGTCAGTGAGCTGTGGCTACTCAGGCCTATCCCCGTGGTACAGGTGGAGGGACGGGTTGGTTGTCAGCCTTCCCAGGCTCATAAGCTGTTTTTTTCCCCAGAAAGTGTCTTATAAGGCCAAGCGCTGGATCTACGACGTGCGGACCATTGCGGAGGTGGAGGGTGCTGGTGTCAAGGCCTGGAGGCGTGCGCAGTGGCAAGAGCAGATCTTGGTGCCTGCCTTGCCACAGTCGGCCTTGCCCGGCTGCAGCCTTATCCACATTGACTATTACCTGCAGGTTTGGTGCTGCTGAGGGTGGGGTGGCCTGAGGCTGGGTGGCCTTGACCCTGGCCCCTCACCACCCCCATCCTCCCCAGGTCTCCATGAAGGTGCCTGAAGCCACCGTGACCCTCCCCATCTTTGTTGGCAATATTGCTGTGAACCATGCTCCCCTGAGCCCTGGGCCAGGCTTGGAGCCACCTGCTGGACCCTCACCCCCAGTGGTGCCTTCCGCACCACCCCAGGAGGAAGCTGAGGTTGTGGCTGGCGGCCCCCACTTCTCGGACCTGGTCTCCCTCTCCACCAAGAGCCACTCACAGCAGCAGCCACCACCTGCTGTCTTGTGTTCTGTGCCTGTCGCCCCTGAGCCCTGTGCTCATGATGGCAGTCCTGCTCCCCACTCTCTGCACCCTCCCTTGTGCATCTCTACAGGTGCCACTGTTCCCTACTTTGCAGAGGGCTTTGGGGGCCCAGTGCCCACCACCAGCGCCTTGATCCTTCCCCCGGAGTACAGTTCTTGGGGCTACCCCTATGGTGAGTGGGAAGGCCAGGGATGGAGGTTGGGGAGGAGATGCCACAGCCCCTTGCAGACACAACTCTCTCCCCACAGAGGCCCCACCGTCTTATGAGCAGAGCTGCAGTGGTGCAGACCTTGGCCTGACTCCCAGGAGCTGACCCTTGAGAGCTGACCTCATGCTGCCTTTCCTGGTGGGCCTGGCCTCTGCCCTGGGATGGGGTGCCCAGGGCCTCGTGCCTTAGCTCTCTGCCTGGCCTGGCCGCTCAGGACTCATGCCTGTCCAGGCCACCTCTTGGCTGGAACAACCTCTCTCGGCTTCCCTATTGTCAGCCCTCTTCTCCCTGAGGTCAAGATGGGGGAGACAGGGACCAGAGACTAGAGAAACTCTGTAAATAAAGTGTTATATTTGTAGAGCCTGCCTCTACAGGACAGAGGCTGGCCTGCCTCCAGCCACGGATGCCCTGCAGCCTCCGGCCTGTGTTGGTTGGACCTGGTGCTCCCACCTTTTCTTTGGTTCTGCCCCATCTTTGCCCCCTCCCAGATGCATCCTTCCCCTGCGAGGCCCCTGCCCACAGTGGAACCCCCTCCCTTGGGCCTTTGGAGGCTGTTAACACCAATGCTCAGCTGGCTCTGCAGGTCATGCCTGTCTGCTCTCACCCAGGACCATGCTTTGAAGGCTATGTTCTAGGCTTCCAGAGCTAGATAGGTGGGGTACTGTGGGCAGTGCTTCCCAGAGAGGCACCCTGCTGCTCTAAAGGAGGGCCTGGAGGTGCTGCCTTTGTTGCTCCATGGGAATGACTCAATGGGGGTGGTCAGGGTAGATTTGGGCCACATGACTTCTCTGATAGAGTGGAGAGATACTAGGTGTGTCAGCCACCTTGGCTGAGTAACAAGTTCGTGACTCTTAGGGAATAGGTCACATACTCACTGACCTGATTGCACCAGAGGACAGGCCTGGTAAGTGGCTATCATCCCTAGGCTGTAGCTTCAGATGGACAGATGGACTATGGGCTGTCACTTGCACACGCTGTAGGCCAGCCCTTGCAGTTGGCAGTGTGGGCTCTGGCCAGGTAGCCTTGTACTCAGCTAACACTAGCTCCCTGGGACAAGGGGAAGGATGACAACTGGAAGAAGGCGGACAGGAGGCTACAGGTGGGTTAGTCTGTAAGCACATGCTAGAAGTAGTGCATCTACTTCCAACCCAGGAAAGAGGCCTGGGTTGGAGTCCCATCTTGGCCTCTAGCCAGTGCCACCCCACAGGTCCTTGGTTTCCTGGCTTCCATCACTTGTGAGGGTGCCAACAGTGCCTGCCTCTCAAGTCTGTCTAGGCTTGATAAGCACACATCACCTGATGAGAACTGTGGATATGTGGTCAGTGGCCATCAAAGGAAGGCAGGTCTACAAAATTGGAGTGGGAGGCCTGCCTGTAGCCTACTTGTCACATGCAGTTGTGGTCACATTTGCATGGTAAGGGGTTTCCCCCACATTTTAACTGCATATGTTCATCTAACAACTATTTGTCTCTTGTATTATTCTGAGCACACAAAACAGTGCTATCCTAGGATAAGACAGATAACATGCCCAGTAAGAATACAGGGTTGTCATGTGACATGCAGGATACAGAGCCAGATAAAGCAAAGGGCTGGGCGATCTCATTGTTAACTAGAGGTACACAGCAAAGTGAACCCTGCAGATACTAGAGATAAAAGTTTCCTGGAGAGGTCAGAGGAGGTCCTAAGGCAGGAGTGGAGATGGAGTGGGATACAGGGAGGGTGGGTTGGGAGCTCAAGGGCTTTGACAGAACAGTTGAATCGCCCTAAAGAAAACTGGAATGGCACTTAGGGCTGTCCATTCCTCTTTATCTGTGTACACTGACACTGCAGATGTAGCAGAGTCATTTTTCTATTTTTTCCTCATGAGACTGAGTCTATGACTGTCAAGACTCAGAGCGTCCTTAGTTCTTGGCAGTGAGAACATCAGTTTTGCTGTATGCTTTTCTCAAGTCTCAGGGACAGAAGAGACAGATTTGGCCACAGGAAGCAGGTAGCCTAAAAGGCTTTATGAGGCTCTAAGTACATTGTCCAGCGAAGGGTGCTTGGTGTGCAAAAGAGTCCTTGCCCTGTGCATAGCAAGTATGTGCCTGGGGATAGCCAGGGGCAGCATCTCATCTGAGAAACCCCAGTCCATCAACCCTTCCAGTGTGACATCACTCCCAGCCAGAGCACCCATTCTTAACCAGAGCTACCCCCTAACTGGGACACCTCCCAACCAGGGCACTCCTCCATACTGGAATACCCCCTTCCCATTCAGGACACCACTGTCAGCTGGATCATCTCCCTAGAGGGGAATCCCCTCTGTGCAGTTTCTCAATCCTTAGGACATCCTCCCAATCAGAATACATGTGGAGTTGGGACATTCCCCTAGCTGGAATCCCTCCTAGCAGCTGGGGCATTCCTCCCTACCAGGAACCTGGGACCTTGCCCAAGTAGGGTCCCTCCTCTAACCAGAGCACCTTCCTCCATGCCAGGCACACCCCATAAGCACATCACCCCTCTGCTGCAGACCCCCAATTGGGGCACCCCCCTAAAAAGCAACTCAGGATGACTGCCTTTGTGAAAGCTCAGGAAATCAAAATGTATCTGGGTTTAGAGGTTAAGAGTTGAGCCTTGAGTTCTTCACCCTAGGCCTGCCCACCAGAACACCAATTTACAGTCCCTCTCATCTGCAGGGGTGTGTTCTCCGACACTCTGTGGATGACTGAAATCACATGTGGTACTGAAACTTGTACATACGATGATTTTCCTTACACATACAATAAAATTTAACCAATGAATTTGGTATAGGAAGAGACTGACATTAGTAATAAAATAATTAGTTGGGTGTAGTGGCCCATGCTTGTAATCTCAGCAGCTTGGGAGGCTGAGGCAGGAGGATCATGAGTTTAAAGCCTAGTGAGGCCCTAAGCAACTCAGCAAGACCCTCTTAAAAAAAAATACACACACACACACACACACACACACATATATATATATATATGGCTGGGGATGTGGCTCAGTGGTTAAGCACTGCTGGATTCAATTCCTGGTACACCCCCCACCCAGCAAAATAGAAGAATTATATAATGTGCTGTAATAAAAATTGCATGACTGTGACCTCTCAGCCATCTTATTGTTCTGTATTCACCATTCTGTAAGTGCCTATGTGATGGGAAGAAGTAAGGTGAATGGTGTAGGTGATGTAGCACTGGGCTACTACTGACCTGATCACCTGCTTTGGGTGATCCTAGACCTTTGGGCCATCATGGTATGGGTGGTTGGATGTCGCAGATAATGTTTTCTTTTTGTGATGTTGGGGTGGTGGAGATGGAGCCCAGGGCCTCATGCATGCTAGGCAAGTGCTCTACCTCTGAGCTCCGCTCTAGCCCTTATTTTGTTTGAGGCAGGGTCTGGCTAAGTTGCCCATTCTGTCCTTGAACTTGTGATCCTCCTGCTTCAGCCTCCCAAATTGGTAAGATGACAAGTCTGCATCATTTGTCTGGTGTAGTTCTCCCCCTGCCCCCCAACTTTTTGTAATAACATAGAAATTGGAAGTTATTTTGTCTTTTCAACAACAACGAAAATTTGCTGTAGAGACTAGTCATTTGGTGATCATATAGGTGAATTTATTACTGAGTTCCATCCAAGGACTGTATTCCGAAGGCTGAAGCAGGAGGATCCAAATTGAAGGCCAGTTGTGGCAATCAGTGAGAACCTCTCTCAAAAAAGGGCTGGGGATGTAGCTCAATGGTTGAACACTTGTCTAGCATTTGGGGCCCTGGGCTCAAACCCCAGTTTAAAAAAAATATATCTGGGGCTGGAGTTGTAGCTCAGGGGTAGAGTGCTTGCCTCGTACATGTGGGGCACTGAGTTCAATTCCCAGCACCACATTTAAAAAATCAAATAAAATGAAGGTCCATCAACAACTAACTAACTAAATAAATAAATAAAATAGTCCTTTGATGTCTGTTCAATTTGAAACACTTCAGCAAATTTTGGCATTGTCCCCACTTCTCTTTCAGTGTCTTCTGCCGATGACTCAAGTTCTTCCTGAAGAACTTTTTCCTTAGTCAATGCCTTCAATTCTACTGGAAATAGGGCAGCAGCTTCTTCACCGCTAGAAGTTTTTGTTTTGCAGTCCAAACCTATTCTTTAGTCTGTGTAATCATCCCTTGAAGTAAATGGCTTGGTGCCCTCTATTTCAAGGGCTTCCTTGGGGAAGTCTTGTTATAGGCTCAATGCCTTCTGGACGCTGCCACTAATTGCAACACGTTTCTGTTCATTGTCTACCCACAAATTTAATACCTTGTGCACCTCAAAGCAGTGCTCACAGGCACTGTAATCCTACTGCTCCAGTGCGAGGTGCGACAGGGAAGCTAGCAGATTTCTTTTTCTTTCTTTCTTTTTTTATAGGTACTTTTTTTTTTAATATTTGTTTTTTTATCTTTTAATTTTCGGCGGACACAACATCTTTGTTTGTATGTGGTGCTGAGGATGGAACCCCGGGCCGCACGCATGCCAGGCGAGCGCGCTACGCTTGAGCCACATCCCCAGCCCCTCTTTTTCTTTCATAATTGCACGGATGGGAGATCTTCCTTACCTAGGAGGATCTTATCAACCTCAGCATCCGGTTTCTTTTATGAAGTCGAGAACTTTCTTTCTTTTTCACTTAAAGGAAGCATTGTGCAGCCTCTCTTTGGCATATCCGAATCGCGGCGGCGCTCAGGGGCCATTACCAAGAAAATTAAAGGTGCTGGGCCGCGCGCAAGCTCTCGATGCCCACAGCCGGCGGCCGCCTGAGCGGCCACGGGGGTACAGCGGGCAGCGCCTGCAGCGCGGATACGCTGCGCAAAGGGGAGACAGCGGGACTCCCTCAGCTATCCAAACACAGCGCGATTGAAAGCCTAGGGACCAGCCAGCCCGGTGGCCACGCCTGTCACCCCAGCGACTGGGAGGCTGAGGCAGGAGGATCTCAAGTTCAAAGCCAGCCTCAGCAAAGGGAGACCCTTTTATTTTGACTTTCTTTTTAACAACAACAAAAAGTTGCGGCAGAAACTAGTAATTTGGTGAACATATGAGTGACTTTAATACCCAGTTCCATCCAAGGATCGCATTCCATAATCGTCCTTTAGTTGGGCACAATGGTGCCCACCCATAATCCCAGCTCTTTGGGATTAAATAAAAATAATAATAAAAAAATGGCTGGGGATATGGCTTAAGGGTTAAGCACCCCTGGGCTCAACCCTCGGTTAAAAACGAAACAAAAAAAGCCTAGGTACTATTCAATACTGAATTTTCCAAGGCGGCTGACTGGAGTAACTGAAAGACAAGGTAGCAAAATCCGAGACTGGCGGTGAAAGGATTCCCGGCAGCCACTATATACTCAGCTGTGCAGCTTCTCGGCTCCAGGATACTCCCAAGCG